CACCCAGTGCTTCACCCACTTGGGCCTCCGCGAGCACTTTTCTCTGGGGCAGGAACCCCTGTCCAGCCCCCCGGTCTCCCTGGTGTGTGAGGGCCTGGGGCTGCTGTAACAAATGCCCGCAGGCTCGGCTGCAACAGCAGAAATGTGTCCTCCTTCCGCTCCGGGCCAGGCCCCCGCCTGAGATGAAACTGGCGCAGGACTGGGCTCCGTTGGGAGGTCCAGGAGGGTCCCTCCTGCTTCTTCCGTCTCCCAGGGCGCCTGGGGTCCCTGGGCTTGGGGCTGCGATGCCCCCATCTCTGCCTCCGTCTTCACGTGGCCTCTTCTCTGGGTCTGTGTCACTTACCCCTGTCCCTCTCAAGGACGCCTGTTGCTGGACTTAGGGCCACCCTAGTCCGGAGTGGGCCCATCTAGAGATCCTTAGCTTGATGACGTCTGCAGGGACCCTTCTTCCAAACAAGGTTCACCCACCTTGTGAGGACGTGGCCACACATGACTCACCCTGGCAGCAGGTGGGCTATAGGTGCTGTATTCTTGGGCTTTGTAAGAAGCAAGCTGATGGCAGAGGCCGGCTCAGGCCCGGACAGTGGGGCCCGGGGTGTGGCTCCTGGGAGGCCACGGGGTCGCCGGGAGGGAGACCCCCAGCCTCGCAGTGACCCAGGGAAGTTCCTTTGTCCACATGAGGTCTGCTGAGGGCAGGGCTGGTAACTGTCCTGGCCTCTTCCTCCCCTCCCCCAGCCCAGCGGCAGCAGCCCTCAGGTTTGGGGGGGGTGGCCCCCACAGCAGTCTCGCTGCAGGACGCAGAGTGGCCCTGGTCCTTGGTGGATGCCCCCCCTGCCCGCCCGCCCCTTCCTTCTCATCCTGGAGATGTCACCTCTGACTCTGGGACCTGGACCAGTGAGGCTGTGACCAGGCTGCTCCAAGGGACACCTCGCCCCGTGCGAGAGGCCCCACCTCTGTGGGCCTTTCCGGGCCCCTTGCCTGACGTCGTGATGTGGGCCCTCAGTGTCTTCCTCGTCAGACGGTGCAGTCACCCACCCCTCCTTGCGGGTGGGGCCCCTGCGGGGCCTCTGCGGAGCCTGTGACTGGCAGTGTGGGGCAGGGGGCTGCGTCCACGCCGAGACTCCAGGCACCGTCAGCTCCGCGGGGCATGTGCCCGCCTGGGAGGCTCCGCACACTGGGACAGGTGGTCATTCACTCTTCAGAGCTGGGCAGCTGTGAGTGGTGGCCGTATCGAGATTCGAATGTGAACAGCTGCCAAAAGGCTGTGTTGTGCCCAAGTGGACTCTGGAACAAAGAGCCAAAGCTTCAGGTTGCAGGCAGCCAGAGGGTCTTCAGGCTTGGCTCCACCGCTCCCGGGACTGTTTGCTCAGGGACTGTGCCCTTGCCAGGAGCTGGACCCAACCCTGGGAGCTGAGCTCTGGTGGGTGGGGGGCCGCAGAATGGTGGCGTCCGCTCAGCTTGGTCTTTTGAATTTACTGTTCACCTCCTCCCCCACCTGCAAGCTCTTCTGCAGGGGTCCAGTGCTCACACCTGGCAGGGTCTGGGGGGTGGGTGGGGGTCCTCCCCGGCCCAGCTGACCCAGCGCCCGGCCCCCTCTGCGTGGCTGTGGAGCAGGTGTGCTTGGGACTCCCGTGAGGGCAGCAGGCGTCACGCCCCCAGCCTCCCCACTCTGCCACATCCGCCCTGGGGGCCGAGCCAGCCAGAGGACTGAGGTGCCCTGGGAGGCAGCCACTGTCCCTGCTGCTCCGCCTGATGCACAGGGCCTCTGGGTTCCCTCTGTGTGTCCAGAGGTGTCTGGCATGAGGCCTTCTGTGGCTCGGCCTCTACGGGGCCGCGGTCAGGCGCCCTCAGCAGATGGTCAGCCTGGCCGGTGGCCGGTGCTCCATCGAGGTCCAAGTGCAGCCCGCTCATCAGAGGCTCGGGGCCCTGGGCCTCGGGGTCACGCTGCCTGGCCCAGCCGTGGCCCAGGGACTCGGGCTCCCGGCCTGGGCGTGGGTGCTGCCCATGACCCAGCTCTTGGGGGCGGCCGGCCCCCTGAGGAGCCCACAGGAGTTCCAGGGCCCAGGGCCCCTCCCAGCCTAGCTCCCACTCCCGAGTGTCTTCCTGGGGACACGGCCCCCGGGGGATGGACTTGGCCACGAGAAGCCCAGTGGAGCGCCGGCGTGTGGTTCCTCAGTGGGTGGGTGCCCCCCAGCTCTTCAAGTAGGGGTTGGGATGCCGGCCCGACAGCCCAGTCCAGGGACCTGGCCGAGCCTGAGGTGGGGGTCCAGCCACCATGGTTCCTGGGCCGTGACCCCAGCTCCCCATGTTGCCAGCCCGGCTCTCTGGGTGTGAGGTGGGAGAATCACAAAGCTTGGAGTTGGGGCATCCTTAGGCCTGGGGACCCCTGCCTGCTTGGGGCTGGTTGGTCCCGAGTTTTGCAGAGCAGGACCTCACACAGCTCCTGGGGAGGTGCTGGGAGCCTGGGGTTTGGGAGGCGGAGGGTCCCCTGTGCAGGTCTGAGCTCCAGATGTGCGCATCCTGCCCATCTGCACACCAGCCTAGACCCATCCCCAGAGACGCTTATCCTCCCCCCAGGGAGGCCGGGCCACCCGGGCTTACCCGGCACCCGTGGGAGACGGGATGGGCGCAGGTAGGCAGTGCATCTGGTCTGCACCCGGAGACTTCAGCCCAGAGCACGCCGAGGGGTGGGAGGGGTGGGATTCCCAGGGCCAGATACTCTGTCTGATCAGGAAGTGCCTGCAGGTTGGGGTGTAGACACGGGCAGAACGAGGGGCTGAAAGCTGAGGGAGCCAGGGAATAGAGGCGTGTTCACACCTGCAGAAGGAGGACTCCACACTCCATGTTTACTCACAGTGCAGACCTGCCTTCTGCTCCAGGAAGGAGAACCAGGAGAGGCAGAATTGATGCTGCCTTCAAAATACCTGGTCCAGCTCACAGGCACCTGGTCCAGCACACACAGTCACACCTGTCCAGCTCACAGTCACACCTGCCCAGCTCACAGACACACCTGCCCAGCTCACAGACACCTGGCCCAGCTCACAGACACCTGGCCCTGTTGCAGGCACATCACTGTCACGGATTCCCAGCCCTCCTGGCTGAGACACTGCACTGATGTCCTGCAGAGGCGGTGACTGTGGTGTGTAAGGGTCTGTCCTGTGTGACCTTTTCTATAGGTTTTGCTTCGGACGCCAGTCCTAAGGGCATTGCCAGGGAGAGTTGTTCTGGATATACAGCCCCTCAAGGCTTCGGGGGTCTGCAGGCCGCAGCAGGGCCGGCTGGGCCATGCTCATAAGGCTCCCTCCAGGTCACCTGCCCGCCCACCTGTCCTCCAGCCCCTGGCCCTGGTCCACACCAGGGTCAGCTGCTGAGAAGCCTCCCCTGCAGACACGGGCAGAGGCTGCTGGGCATCCTGTCTGCAGGCTCTTACCTGCTCCACATCCCTGTCGGCTCCGACACGGGCTGTGACTTCTGCTCTCCCATCCAGACCGGCCCCTCCCCAGAACACCTAGGAGTCACCAAGGAGGCGCCTTGGAGAGCTTCCCACCGCGCACTGGGTCTGACTGCTGTTATTTTTATTTATTCTTGGCTGCGCTGGGTCTTTATGCCGTGCGCGAGCTTCTCATTGCGGTGTCTCATCTCCTCTTTTTGTGGCTCCCAGGCCCCAGGCACCCTGGCTCAGAAGCTGTGATGCTCGGGCGTAGCTGCTCTGTGGTGGGCGGGACCTTCCCGGATCAGGGGCTGAACCTGGGTCCCCTGCACTGGCAGGTGGATCCTGGACCACTGGACCTCCGGGAAGTCCTGACTCCTGTTCTTTTTGTTAAAGTAACTTTTGATTATTAAGATACCGTGTGTTCATGGTGAACGTGGAGCCCCGAGTGGAGAGCTTGGCTCTGGGGCTCACAGCCGCGTCCACAGCCATGTCCACCCGGGCCTCCCGCAGCAGCGATGGGGCCTCCGCACGTCTCAAGCTGTGCCAACCTTTCTCTTTGGGGAACTCATAGGTCCTGAGTTCAGCCGGGTGTGGCGGGGACTCCCGCCATGCCGGGCGCTGCTTCTTGCGCTCTGACTCAGACTTGAGGGTTTTCTGTGGGTTCAGCCGTGAATGAGCTCGCTGTCCGTGGCTCTGACCGCCCAGCTGGACCCTGTGCTCGGGCCACGTCCTGCCTGTCTCTCTGCTTGCTGACCTGGTGGTTCTCCTGAGGCCGCTGCTCCTCTGGGGACTGGGCTCTCGGGCCCTGCCCCAGCCACCAGCCATGACTCTGGGGTGTCGATGCTCAGCTCCGGGATCCACAAAGCTGCTGGAGGTGGAGATGCCTCAGCCCCATGGGGACCCGGGCCCAGCCTCGGGGATTCACTGGGCTCCGGACACTGTCAGCCACCCCCCAACACGGGGCCTCCACCCTGGGCCTGGGCGCAGCTGTGCTCAGCCCTGGGGTCCCCCAGACGCCTGCCCTCACCTGGGGCCCCCTCTCCCCCCGGCACTCCGTTTGGCACCCGGGTGAGGAGCACCGTGGGCAGCAGGCTGGGCCCTGAGGTGGGGGCAGTGGTGTGACTGCTCTGGATCCTCGCCACAAGGACGGTGTCTCCCCACTGGTGCCCAGAGGGGTGTCGCTCGGGGAGCCCCCAGAGCAGGAGCAGCCGGGGGGTTGCCCCCAGCTCAGGGACGGTGTCACCCCACCGATGCCCAGAGGGGTGTCGCTCGGGGAGCCCCCAGAGCGGGAGCAGCCGGGGGGGAGGTGAGGGGTTCACTGGAGGGGCCCTGCACCCCCGGGGCTGCTGGCCGCATGCTGCCCCCGTGGCTGGGGCTGCGAGCTTGGGGGACAGGTGGACAGGGTGCCAGGGCCGGAGGGGCCGGGCTGTGTCTGCAGCAGACGCGGGACCCTCGGTGTACCCCATGGTTGTGAAGTCACTTCCGGGCAGGGCTGCTGTCCGTGGGTGGCAAGGGGTCTCAACACAGCTGCCCACAAAGCAGGTGACCTCTCGTCTCTTCCTCCCAGCAGCATGGCTGACAGCAGGCCCAAGCCCGCCAAGTCCGCCAACAAGACACCCCCCAAGTCCCCGGGGGACCCCACCAAGGACAAGGCTGCCAAGAGGCTGTCGCTTGAGTCGGAGGGGTCCGGCGAAGGGGCGGCCGCCACGGGCGCAGAGCTCAGCGCCCTGGAGGAGGCCTTCCGGAGGTTCGCAGTGCATGGGGACACCCGGGCCTCGGGCAGGGAGATGCACGGCAAGAATTGGTCCAAGCTGTGCCGGGACTGCCAGGTGATCGACGGCCGGAGCGTGACCGTCACTGACGTGGACATCGTCTTCAGCAAAATCAAGTGCGTGCTGGCTCCGCCCGGGGCCATCGGGGGCGGGTCTGGGTCCTGGCGGGCGGGGCAGACCCGTGGGGCAGCCGGGTGGGGCCAGGGCCTCGGGTCGGGGGCAGTCACAGCCGGCCGTGGGGGCCCGAGCGTCTTGCGTGGCGGAGTCCTGCCCACGGGGGGCGGCGGGGGGGTGGTGGGAGCCGGAGGTCCATGGTGCAGCTCCTCAGCTTTGGGGGGCGTTCATGTGTGAGGAAGGGCAGGGGTAACCAACAGTGGCCGCCGCATGCGTGTCCACGTGTGTGTCCACACGTGTGAGCACATCCAGGCCTCAGCACGCCCCTCCCCCTCTCCTGCCCGCCACACCCGGGACCACACCCGAGAAGAGCACCCACCACATCACACACGTGTGCACACATGTAGACAGGGCTCCACTCCCTGGTCAGGGCTCGCCCGGAGGACGAGCGCTTTGGACAGGCCCTGAGACTCCGTGTGCAGGATGCCTGGGCGGTGGGGGACACAGGCCCTCCTGCCCCAGGAAGGGTGACCCCTTCTGGCCCCAGCCCCACTCCAGAGGGCAAGACGCCAGCTGCTTGGATACGCGGGCCGCCCCCGTCTCCCCGGCTGCCCGGACCCCAGTGTTGCTGCCTCAGCTTGCCGGGTGCCGGCCGTCTGGGGGCGCGGGCCCAGCGAGGGTCGTGATCAAGACACAGTTAAGCGCAGCCTGTGGCTCCTTCCCGCTGCCCTCCTAAACCCAGGCTCCCCATGAGATCCCTGTGACCTGTCCCGGGGGCGGGCCCCCCAGACCTCCCGGGTGTGGAGTGAGGGGCCCACCCTCACGCTCTTGTCCTTGGGGAGAGGTGGGCGGTGCTCCGGGCAGGGTCCTGCAGGCCAGGCCAGGGACCCCAGGCGCCCAGGTCTGCAGAGCGCGGTGCAGCGTGGACATGTGCGTCCTGGGTGGAGGGTCCCCAGGTGGCAGCCCCGGCAGAGGCGCCCCGGCTCGTGGGAGCCGTGGCCGTGGACGCGGAGCCGCGGGCGCTGACAGCGACGGCTGTTTCTGTTTGGGGCGGTTGCCATGGCTCAGTGGCTCTGCGCCGGCCGGTATCTGCAGCCTCTGTTTGGGCCTGTCGCCATGGCAGCGCTTGTTTGTTTCGATGTTACTATGTGTTAAGTTTTAAACAAACTTCTTGCCGCTCTTCCCCAGGCCTTGATTGAAAACTATTGTTTCCGAGACCGGGGCTCCCCACCCCCACCCCTGCTCCACCACCCCAGGGCGGGAGTGAACTCAGGACGCCTTCCCACGAGCACGTCGGGGGTCCGACACCGCTGTCGGGGGGGTCCGTGGGTGGCGGGGTCCCTGCGTGTGCGCCCAGGTGGGGTGGCCGGGAGGGGGGGATAGGGGAGGCTTCCCCTCCTGGCCCTGACACAGCTTTCTGGCCGATGGTCACATTCCCCATGATTCTGGAGCCTTGTCTGGGTTGGTGAGGACAACACGGGCCGGGGCAGGACAGGGACTGTCCGAAGCGTGGAGCGTGGTGCATCCACGGGGCCTGAGGGAGCAGGTGGGGTGGGCTGAGCTCCTGGGACGGGGCGTCCCGGGCCCACCAGGGGCCCAGCCCCTGTGTCCAGGCTGGTAGGGATGCTGCCCCTAGGTCCTGCTTCCAGCTATGGTGTTGAGGTCTCACAGGGTCCGGGGGTCCCTCTCCCGGCCCCCCGAGGCCATGGAGGCCTCCAGCAGTGCCTGTCCAGGCCTGCTGCTGCCCGCCCAGTGCGTCTGCAGAGAACCAGGACCTAGGGCGGGGGCCCGGCACCCCAGAGCTGTGTGTGAGCAGAGTCGCCCTCGGGCCCCAGGCCCAGGCAGGGGTGAGGCCAGGATGCGGCCCGTGGACCTGGGAAGGAGCAGGGACCAGTGTCTGCCCGCGCCCGTGCCTGGTGCCACTCGTGTGGCAGCCCGCGTTTCCCCTGTGGTCCAGTCCCCCCAGGGCCCCCCCTGGCCCGGGGCTGCTGGGGGTCAGGCCCCACTTCCTGTTTCCTGGACGTGTCGCCCAGGTCCGGCTCCTGCAGGTCAGGGGCTCCTGGAGTCGGCTTCCTGCAGCCCCGCAGGTGGCTGTTTATCTGTGGTCCGGGGGGCCCTTGCCCCATCCTGGGACGTGTCGGCCAAAGTCCAGGGCCCTGCGTGACGCTGGCCCTGGAGGCACCAACCTCTGTCCTGGGAGGGCTGGCTGGCCCCCGCCAGGATCCCTGGCCACCGGCGTCCCCGGGTGACCTGCCCTGGGCCTGCAGAACCGGGAGAGCAGCGCCCGAGGAGCTTAGCTCGGGGCCACGTGTGTGCCCGGTGACCCCGTTACTGCCAGGCCAGCATCCCCACAGGACAATAGTCTCTGGCCCGGGCGCCGAGTGGGAGCAGGGCGTCTGCTGTGGGGACCCTCATCTCTGTGCTCGGCAGAACAGGCTCCCTGTGTCTGCGCAGCTGTGTCAAGTAACCAGGCGTCTCCGGGGAAGAGCTGGCATTGTCACTGGAGATCTCCTTGGGGACTGCTGTCAGTGGCGGGCCGCGGGGCCCCGGGAAAGAGGCCTCGTGAGACTGGAAGTCCCACGAGGGACTGGTCCCAACCAGGCCCCGAACCCTGCGGGGCAGTCACGGCGGGGACGCCCGCCCCTGCCCAGCGGGGCAGGCAGGTCAGCCCTGGGCCCCACGTCCATGTGATCTGAATGCGGCCTCTGATGGAGACCCGGGCGGCTGTCCCCCCCGCCCCAGCCGAGTGACTCACGCTGGTGGTGCCTGGTGCAGGGAGGGCTGTGTGCCCCCCACTGGACACCGGGCTGCCGGTCGGGCCTGGAGCCCGTGAATAGAGACAGGCACGCCTTTGACGACTCGGTACAAACAAGCGGGACCCCATGGCTGCGGAGGGTCACCCCCAAGCTGGGACGGCAGGGCCGGGCCCGCGGCCTCACAGCGGCTGTGCAGGGCGGCGGGCTTCCAGGGGCGGGCGGAACCCACGGCCCGGACTTCCAGTCTCACGAGGCCTCTTTCCGCCGTCGCCCTGACCTCGGCGTAGTCGGTCAGCGTGTCCTGAGTCCTCAGGCTCATGTGTCAAGTGTGAGTCCCCATGTGTGCCGGGGCTGTCCCGAGGTGTTTGTCTATGGTCGCCGAGCTGTTTTGAGTTCTGGTGACTGAACAGGTCGGTGAACAGGAGAGTGAGTGAGTGGGCCAGGAGGGGTCACGGGGCCGTGTGGGCCCCCGGCCTCCCCAGGGGCCCCGCCACGCCCTGCTGTGCACTCATCCGACCTTCACGGCATCTGTGGTGGCGGGTGTGTGCTGGCAGGGGTGCCACGTCCGGCCACACTGGGATTCCCTCCCATTTCCCTCACACCTGGCAGCGTGGAATGTCCTTCTTGGGCTGGTTCGCATCTGGTAGATCTTGGAAAAGCGTCCGGTTCAAATATTTTGCCCAACTTTTTACCTGGGGTTTTCTTCTTGTTGTTGAGGTGTAAGAGTAATTTGCATACTCAGATACGAATACTTTATCAAACTTTCTCCAGTCTGTGGCTTGTCTTTTGCTTCTCTTAACAGTATCTTTTTGAAGAGCACGGTTTTAAAAGTTTTGGTCAAGTCCAGTTCATTTTTTTTTTTTTCCTGGACTGTTTTTTGGGGATTGTTTCTAAGAAGATCTCTGCCTAAGCCAGGGTCACAAAGATTTCCACCTGGATGCTCTCTCAGAAGGTGGACAGTTCGGGCTCTATGGCAAGCGCAGGACTGTGGTCTACTTACTACTGTAGGTGGCGAGGGGGGGCAGCCCAGGCCTGCTCTCTGCACACCGCCCACTGGTCGCTGTGGCTCTATTTGCTGAAAAGATGATATGCGACCACTCACTGCCTTTGTGACCTTGTCGAAATCCTCCTTGTGCCCCATCTCTGACACCGTCCTGCGGCCGCTGTGGCCAGTGCTGGCGTGGGCGTGCCACCTCCCACCCAGGGTGCCCTCCAGCCTGGACCCCGGGCACTGCAGCCACATTGCCCCTGGAGCCCTGGGCCCCTGCAAGCAGCCTCTCTCCTCCTCCCAGGCGCGTCCCCCACCTTCTCTTGCTGTAAAACACTGAGGCCCTCACTGAACAGATTAGCCGGGGGAGATCCGCTCCAGGGGGCAGTTAAGATTCTCAGAGATGGAGAGCCAGTTCAGAGCCATCTTGAAGTTGGCAGAATGACCTACCAGGTCCGGGCAGCCGGGTCTGCGTCTTCGCGGAGAGCTGCTCCCAGGCCCCTGGTCAGGCCGGGACGTGGGGAGGCAGCCCCCAATCCTGTCCCCAGGGGATGGTGCCTCTGTGCAGGCTGGGGGAGCCCCTGGTGGGACTGAGACGCCCTCCACACTGCGGGGGGCGATGTGCTTCCCACCCTCTCTCTCTGAGGGTCCGTCTCCCACGGAGGCTACACGCTCGCCTGCTTTAGAACCAGACGAGGCCGTGTTTTGATGTCCAGTCTTTCATAAACGATGTGCTTCCTTTAAGCTTCTCTCCAAGGCAATTTATATTTGCTGCCATTGCCAATGGCAACCAATCACTGGGTGCAAACGCTGCAGACTAGGGTAGGGGAGAGGCAGGCTCGCTCTGGGCTCTTCAGGGGAGGTGAGGGTCCCCGATGTCACGGGGCCCTGGGCAGGGTGGGGGGGGGTCCCTGGGTGCCCCATGAGACTCTGCTCCCTGCAGGGGCAAGTCCTGCAGGACCATCACATTCGAGCAGTTCAAGGAGGCGCTGGAGGAGCTCGCCAAGAAGAGATTCAAAGACAAGAGCGCGGAGGAGGCCGTCAGGGAGGTGCACAAACTCATCGAGGGCAAGGCCCCCATCATCTCGGGGGTGACGGTGAGCACCGGGGGTGGGCAGGACAGGTGCGGGTCCCCACGCGGGTGGCCCCTGTCTGTGGTCTGGGCCCCGGACTGACCTCCCCCACGCCCCCACTCTCTTGCAGAAAGCCATCTCCTCACCCACCGTGTCACGGCTCACGGACACCACCAAGTTCACGGGCTCCCACAAGGAGCGCTTCGACCCATCAGGCAGGGGCAAGGGCCGGGCGGGCCGCGTGGACCTGGTGGATGAGTCGGGCTACGTGCCGGGCTACAAGCACGCGGGCACCTACGACCAGAAGGTGCAGGGGGGCAAGTAGCTGGCGGGGCCTCCCCTCGCCTGGCCCCCTCACCACCCCCACTTCGTTACATTCCTGTGCTCACCGGCAGAACTCGGACCTGGGGCTGGGTGGCCGCAGGGCCACCAGCCTCCCTCCCGCCCAGCCCTCGCGCCCCCTGGACCCCAGCTTTGGCCCCTGAACTCACCTTTCCTAACACACCTGCCTCATCCCTGCCAGGAAGTAGACAGACGGCCCTTTCCAAAGTGTCTCCCAGAACCAGACCACACTGGCCACTGGCTTGCAGCAAAGTGAGTGTCCAAAGGAGTTGGGACAGGCCCTGTCGGGTTTGTGCTGACGAGGGCACCAGGGCGCCGACCTGCAGCCCCGATGACACGGAGGAGCCCAGCCAGGGCCCCGCAGAGCCCGGAGAGCAGCGTGCCGGCAGGGGAGGCGGGCACACGTGCACACACGCACGCACACACACCGCACACGTGAACACACGCACGCACGCACACCGCACACGTGCACACACGCATGCACACAGGCTGCGCACACACACACACACACGCTGCGCACATATGCACATGCACGCACGCACACACGCACACGCGCTCAGGCACACGCGCCTGTGGACCGGGGCTGTGCTAAGGGTGGGCGTTGAGCTGAGGGCTGCTGTGCAAAGGAAGGAGCCTCATCCGTCGACCAAAGTGACTTGAACCATGAAGTTACAGGATTCTAAAACTAAGGGCAATTCATTTCATTTCACTTTTCTGAGAAGAAATAAGAAATGGCGATTAGAGTTTGCTCTCAGAACGGCTCAGGGAAGACTCAGAATAGCCCATCTCTGGGCCTCTCTCCTGCAACCCCTGTGCCCTGAGTCCTGGGCCAAGGAGACTCCTGGGCTCAAGGCTGCGGGTGGCCCAGCTGCCCCCTCCCTCCCCCTCCAGCTGGCCGCTGTGGCATCTGCGAGTGGCCCCCTTGTCCACCCCTGCCCAGGAGAGCAGAAACCGCAGGGCAAGACTGGCCCGGGGAGGGCCGAGCCGGCAGTGTCTGCATCCGGGGTCTCCGAGAGGCCAGAGGCGGGGCCTCCTGCTGCCGCACTGGCTGCTTGGCCACGTGTCCCTTGTGCATGAAGATGGCTGCAGCCTGGCACGTGACCCGCTGGGCCCCGAGGCCCTGGTGTCAGTCTTGGGAAAGCCCATGGCAGACCCTGGGGAGTGCCTCCTGGAGCCCACGGCCCCACCGCTGTCTGTCCCATGTCCAGGGCAGCGGGCCACCTGGGGCACCCCTCCCCAGATGCATGGCCGGCCCACAGCACCGGTGGCCGTGAGAAGGCCAGCACTGCCACGCACGCCGGTCCCTGCTGGGCCTGGAGGCCTGCCCCCCGCAGAGGGGCCCAGGCCAGCGCTGGACATGGCCCCCGCACTGTGCTCCCTGGAATGTCAGTGGCTTCTGCGGGCAGCTTGGTCCTAAGGCCCTGGGACCTCACTGCAGAAACACCTGGGAAGTGAGGGATGGAACACAGGTGTCTGGAAGCACTTGGAGGACACAGTCACTGCTATCTGGGAAGTCTGCAACTCGGGGAAATGAGGCTGCCCGGCCAGGCCCTCGCTCTACTGCCGGGAAGCCGAAGGCTGGGATGGCAGGCGGGCAGGACACCGGCCCC